GTGCATTTAGTTAGCACCCTGTGTTATGAATAATAATTGGATTAAAGGGATAAAGAGAATTGTTTGGGCAATTTCCCGGTACTCCCTACGTATTTTTTTCCAAATTGTATTATATTTTTATTGAACAATTAAGCCCGTTATTAAAAATTGACTTTTTAGATAAAGGAAATCCTATTTTACTTTGGTTGTCAACTAAATACTTAAGAAAAAGAGAGAGCGAGTGCGATGTGTTGTTTCTTTTTCTATGATTTGCAATAAATTAACCATACTATCATATAATGTCTAAAACGCTTTTGGCGTTGTACACAATGCATATTTAAAGTATGTAATATTTCTCAATTTATATGCTTTACCAAAAAACGTGAAACATTGTTCACATCCCCGGCATTTCGTGCATTGCCGGTAATATATAGATATAAATTCTAGAACAGGGGCTTCCAACTTACATGAGGCCGGGGGCCGGAACTAAAAACACAAATCAAGTGGCGGGCCGCAACGTTATCAAAATTTTATGTAGGACTCTTTTATGTTAGAAGGAACATTAGATATTACTGTCAGATTTTTACCAAGTTGTACAAAACAACAGCATTGAATTACAAATTAAAAAAAAAGTAGGTTTTTGAAAATATTTGATTGTTATTAATAAAATTTTTAAAAATATAAAATAAATAATAAGAATTCGGGCTACAGTAACTTTAATGTGCCTCTATGTCTTAAACAATTAATGTGCAACAGCTATCTAATTGTTAAGATATAAAACTTTAAAAAGGTTGGTATTAAAACTTACATTATAGTAGCACACAAAATATTTAGTGGGAAAATTGAGGTTAGTTTGCTGCATCCACCAGAGAATAGATATTTACATTTTAAATTTAAAATTTACAAATGTGTGTGTGTAAATATTTTCGTCCAAATTTAGTGGTTTCAAAAAGTTAAATCGGAGAATTTCTTCGAGCAGAATTATGATACGCACATGCTAAACTATCTTCACAAAATACAAAAAATTTAAATAAAAAAGAGCAACATACACGATTATTTTTGTATTTGAATAAATATTTTCTTGGATGCAAAACCTGAGAAATAAATTTTTTTGCATAGTTGGTATATTAAATTTTACAGAAACGAAGAAATTAGGTTTTTATTAACGAGAAAAGTATTTTAAACCCATATAGATTTTTTACGAAAATTGTCTGCAGAAAAATGATAACTAATACTTTTTAGTTCGCGGGCCACAAAAAAAAGGCTTCGCCGGTCTGATGCGGCCCTCGGGCCGCCTATTGGAAACCCCTGCTCTAGAACATCATGACATTTTTTAATGCTATTGATTAGATGCTAATATTGGCTATATTATTAAAATATTTTTTGCTTTTCACCTACAATGTCAATGGTACCTAATCGAAATCGTTAAAGCAAAACATATTTTTTTAATTTCTAATGGCAGCAGTTAAAGCAATGTTGTATCGCAAAAAAAAATATTACTCATGAAGTTTTTTTAAAATTTCCTACATTCCGTCTTCCAACAAAGCAAAAAGATAATAATTGAAATAAAAAAAAATAATGAAAAAGATCATTATAATAATAGACATCAGCATTTCAAGGTCCGTTGGGTAGCAAGTCTATAATAAAAAAAATAGCTATTGTAAAAACTATTTTCATTCAAAATGTGTAAACGTAATCAATTTAGATTCCATCATTCTTGGCGGCTTACATTTAAAATTTGTAGTTGATGGCTATCAATTTTGGCACAGCTTTGGTTTTCAAGATCCGAAAAAGTTATTCTTTTTCGATTCCCTGTCACTATCAATCATAGTCAAACCGCAATACATTATTATTTCTGAAGAAAAATAATGTTCTGACTGCAACGTGGTATGAAAGTGAATCTGAAAACAAAACTTTAAAAAAAATTTGAACTTAATCTTAGGAAATACAAAAATTTGAAAGCAAATTTAATATAATTTCTTCACGTATACTAAATATAATTTCTAATCTGAGAAAATACAAGAAATTTATAAGTTTTTTTCCCAAGCAATCGGAAAATATGTAAAAGATAACTTTTATGTAGTTTAAAAAACTCGTATATTAAAAAATTTTTATTGTTTTTTTTTGTTACTTTTTTCTCTAGCTACGTTTTGAAGGAAAAAAAAGATAGCACTTTTTTATAAAAAGTTATTATTTGGACTTACTTTCTGATTTAAAAAAAATCATTGTTGATACAATTTTTTTGAAGAAAAAATACTATCAGTTTTAAAAATATGGAAGCTGACGGTCATTTTTTCTTGAAAATGAAATTTTTCTCAGATGAGTATCTTGGAATTTCAATTCATAGTCTTGTAATTTTTTAAATTTACAAGAGAAAGCAAGATATTTTTTTAAAGGATTCAAATAAGAACTTTCAACACGAAAAAGAAGTCACGAATGTATGTTGTTTGCAAATTTCTTATTAGGATTGTTTAAAAAATGTGTTTTTTAAATGACTAAAAGTAAATTTTTTTTTTTGCCTTTCATTTCATTTCTGAAATTATTTTTGTTCTTTCCTTTGAAAGAGCTCTACATTTAAAATAGTGAATGCTTGAAGTTCATTTAATCTGAGTTAGGAAATATTTTAAGTACAAAATGACACACTATTGACATTAAAATTATTTTTACTTAAAACTCCCCTCTCTGGATGTGTTTAATATTTGAGCAAACACAGATTTCACAATCTTGAACTCAGCTTTTGATTCTTCCTCATTTTTTTCCTTTGCATCAGACTTAGTTTATAGAGCTGTTTGATCAGCTTTCCTTGGTCAAAAAATACCATTCAAATTTCGAACAATTTCTCCTCATGTTGCTATTGTGTCATTAAACTTTGAATTCAATTAAACTCGTTACAAAAGTATATTCACTATATCATGTTCAGTAGATTATATGTATAATTTGTGAAATTTCTTTAAAATTTACCAAAATTACCGTATTCGATTATAAAATTATACTTTATAATGGTATAATGATTCATTTTTAAATTATATTTAAACCTTTTTTTTTCAATTTAATGACGAGTATTGGAATGGAGTCCATGAATGGAGAATGAGGTGAATTATAATTCATGCAGGTATGGATTATAAGCCCCTCTAAGAGAATTTGAATGTAAGCCCAGTACATCTGTAATACACTGTTTAATGTAGAAATTTTACATTATGCTTGTTGTGTGACTAAAATTAAACATTAGTACTGCCTTCGATTTTAAAGTTATTTATTATAATATGATAATCTTTCTCTTGAAAATATGCTAAGTAATTGTTCTAGATTCGTTTAATTAATTTCATACACGGAGAAAAAATTACCGTACTGTAAAGTAATGGCATTTCTGACAAAGATAAAAATTCTGATTAATAAATTGAGAATATGCGGTATTTAAAACATTTACTTGGTAGTTTTTCCGTTCATATAATAACGGTTTATTGGAAATTTTGGATTTTAAAAATTATAGTACTTTTTACCACACATTTAATAAAAAATACAAAACTGGAAATAAATTGTACCGAATTTAACGTTTTTATACCAGGAAGAGAACATCATCATTCAATCTTAGTCTAACACGTAGCCCTATTTCTAGGGCTCTAACTTTTGACGGCCATGGTAGGAAAGCTACATAATCCTGATTTGACAACGTGGACAGAGTCTGTGCTGTTACCCCTCTCTCCAAATTTTCACACCACAACCAACGAGAGGACTTTCAGCCACTATATATTTATCGCGCACCTTGCTGCATATACACCCCGGTATTTTATTCGGCTGTCAGGATCATACTCACTAATCCCAGCTCTCCAATCAGCGGTGTGAGCGACGCCTTAAGCAACTGCTTTACCGCAGCGCTCCATGAACGTACCAAATTTTACCAAAATTACCAAATTTAATGCATATTATAAAACCTTATTTCATAGCTAATTTTAACAAAATCATTATCAAAGAGCTTCGGTCAGAATTACCGAGCTTTTTGGTGTTCCCATAGAGCCAGAAATATGATAAATTTTAACATATACTGGTATTTTAGACAAAAAAAAATTTCAGTGTAAAGGTCGTGGTGCACTCTGTACATTAGAAATCTATTCAAGAGATTTTTCCTATAAGCCCAGCAAGTATGTTTGTAAAACGTAGTTTAAGGCTGTTTTTCGGAGGCTCTGTAGTCGCTTGAGATGATGTTTTTCAGTGTAAAGGTGGTGCACTCTGTACATTAGAAATCTGTTTAATAGATTTTTCCTGTAAGCCCAACAAGTATCTTTGTAAAACTTAGTGTAAGGCTGTTTTTCGAAGGCTCTGTAGTCGCATGAAATGATGCTTTCTTGCAGATAATATGATGTTTTTATAACTACTGTGAGTTAGCAACAGAATTACTCATGACTGTTGGTCAAGTTTAGCCTATCCTTAGCCTGCACCCTCCTTTTTTGTACTGAAAATGGCGTAAAACGTCAATATAGGGAAAAGCCACAATTTTCAAGAAATGAAAAACTTTTGTGGACTAATTTTTTATTATCTGAAAAAAAAAATTTTTAGTGCTGATTTATCTGAGTTCATAAAAATGTGTAAAAATATGATTGAGGCACTGATTTTGATAATTTTCATCTAGGTCGCCTAATGTCGCCTAATTGGCGATTTTCAAATAAAGTTTGTTAACTTTTGAAATACTTCAGTTACTTGTTCGTTTTAAATATCAGATATTTCTTTATTGTAAGATAACATATACAGTTTAAAATTATAGCTTCACTTATAAGTATGAGACACTAAAATTGGTGACTTTTTTTTCGTTGGTGAAAGAATTTTTAAAAATCATGTACAAGCGAATTTGTACAAACGACTTTGGATGTAATTAATGTGTGATGTATACAGTTTCGTGGCATTTACGCTTAACGTGAAAACTAAATAGATAATACATTAGTTCTCGATTAAATACTTTTTTTTCTTTGGCGAACATTACAAAGTTATATATTATACCTGTCTAAAGTTACTTAAATATTTTCTAGAGCCTCGAGGATTTTGCAATACAAAACTCATGAAGAAGATGAAGCTAACATTGATGGAGAAAATCTCTAGAGGAGAATCTATTGAAGATTGTCGCCAACAGTGTTATGAGACCGAAGAGTTCATATGTCGTTCAGCAACATACGATCCTAGATTTAGAAGCTGCGGTTTATCTCATCATACTAGAAAGTCTACACCAACAGAGTCTCTAGTTAGATCAGACATGAATGAATATTTAGAAATATCGACTTGTTTTGATGGTAAGTAGACACATTTGAACAAAATATTTGAAATTCTACTGCCTTATTATAAGAACTTAATATTACAAAATTACTTTAATTACTGTAAAAATTTAAAATAAAGGAAACACATTTTTAAAAGCAAAAATAACTATATTTCTTGAAGAAAAAAATAGCTTTAATTTTTTTTTCCTCCAAAAAAGAAGAAATGAAAGTTTTTTCATAATTTAGTTACTAAAAATAATGTTTTAATTAATTAGTAATTAGTAATTTAATTATTTTTTAAACTTAATTACTAGTTTGTGCTTTATTCGGGAAATAAAATATTATTTTTCAATGTTTTATTCAAAATTTCAAATGACGACTCCACTAAAGATTTTATGTACTAAGAAATAAAGAATTTGTTCACATACTTAAAATATATTCATATAAAATTGTGTCTGTGTGAGTGTGTCCTTTATAGGTTACTAAATCATCCAACCAAAAGTGATACAGATAGTTCGAAGCACGAGGAAGGTCGCTATCGACATTAAAACATTCTACGACAAACAGTTCGAGCGGGATGAGAGCGAAACGAAATTGAATTTTCTAATTGGTTAAGCGTTAGCCATTGTTTTAAATTTAACTATATACTATTCAATTTTTTCAAATATATTAAAGATATCATCAGTGATATTTGCCACCTTGGACAAGGTTAAGGGCAGGAGAATTTTAGCAGTCTACTCTAAATATCAAGCTCAGCTGGACTATTTGGGTCTTTACAAGGAAGATGCTTCTCTCCTTCTGGTTCTCGATCTTCTGAGGGTTAACTGTTTAATGAATCTTGCCTGACTTCGTCGGACAGTTGGTGGGGAAGCCACAACAACAACAGCAAAAACAATAATAATATGGTAGCAGTAGTGGATTACGTTACCAAATCAATATTTCTATTATCTTATACCACGAGTTTATTTTAGTAAGGGACATCTTCAGAGAGGCTATAATCTAGGTAAGGGGGAGAATATGTGAAATGTAAAGTTTATGTTAAGTTAAATAAAATAAACTTAATCTATGCTGACAAAATTTAACCACCTATATAATTTAATTGAGTATAAAATTTAACAACAAAAAAAATTAACTAAAATTTTTTATAATCTTCCAAAATACGTGCACAAGAAACATTTCCCTATGGAATTCCCATTAAAATAAGAAAATCTGTGATGTGGCATGTGTTCAACTTAAGTTTGAATGCCTGACCATTGATACTTGTTTATAATAATAGAAGCACAGGAAACATTTACACAATCGAATTTCCAATAAAATAAGAAATTCTGCCATGTGACATGCGTTCAACTTAAATTTAAATGCTTGAACGTTGAAATACTAGCTCAATAACCATTTTCCCAATAGAATTCCCATTAAAATAAGAAAATCTAAGATGTGACAACCAATCAACTTTAGTTTAAATGCCTGACCATTATTCCGCTATTGATTGACTTTAATACGTATAGCAAACAAGAAAACAGAGCGCTCAAGCAAATAATCCTTCTCTTTTTTTTTACATTCAACATTCTCTTTTTAGTTTTTAAAAGCCAGTTACTAAAATCACAAATATGACACTAATCCTGACCTTAGATACAAGAACAAACTGATGGGTAAAACAGTGAAAACAAAAAACTGAACAGGTATAAATCCGGAAGAAAAACTATTCTTTTTTTCTTCTAGTAGACTCTCTCTGGGAGTTTGCCGACGCTGTTCTACTATAGGCATTACTTCTTTTGCGCGGCTTAGCATTATTCTTTCTTTACTAAGATTAAAGTTAAGAAAAGAAAATTTAGAAGTGAAAATAAAAGTGTGAGGATCAAAAAATAAGAAAAGAAAAAAATCTACAGTGCTTGGTATTTGTCAAGGGTCGTGGAAGTGGGGGGGGGGGACTCTGCTGACTCTTCACCTTACGGCTAAGCTTCAAGGTACCAGAGAAAACACAACGAATCTGTCTAAAATAGAGAAGAATACAGCACTTTTCTCTATTTTTCTTTAGAAAGGAGTAAAAATCTCTATTCTTTTAGTTTTCTTTGACGGACACTTGTTAACCTACTGCGTATAGAGAATAAAAAAAGGAAGAATGATATTTTAGATCTTTTTGATCTTGATATTTTTAGAAGAGTTGGAACGTGATTTAAGCTGTTTTTTGAAAAAGTGCGTGATTTCAAAGTTTTAAGGAAACTTTGCAGTAAAAGACGTGTATTTTTTTTCTTTCCGTTCCTACGAGAATTTCGTTGAAACAGAAACAAAAAGAGTAACTATTAGCTGTTCGCTTTTCTTACTGATCATTAGTGAAAACTGCGCTGTTTCATTTTATAGAAATTCTTTGTTTTAAAACTTGCTGACTTAGTTTTTTAAATTTCTTTTCAGTTTTACTTCAATTCTTTGTATAAAAACTAAAAGGCAATGAAAGGTAACTCTCAACGTTTTAAACCAAAACAGTGTTTAAAACATTGCTAATAATTTCATTTATATAAGTGAAAAATTTCTATTATAATTTTCTTATATTATCATTTCCTATCTGTCAATCAGCAAAATTCTAAAATGAAAATTTATATGATCCAAAATGCGAATTTATCTCTCCCCAAAACGAAATATGATAATACATTTAAACCTAGTACCATATTAAGTAAAATGAGTAATTCTTTCAACTGCACGTTATGAAGCAGGAGAATATTGAGATTAAGTCTCAACAATTTGGAAACAAATTATATTAACAATGTTGTCAGCAGTACTCTACAATCAACTTTGCTTTTCAGGCAAGATGATGACAATCGTTCTGGAACTGGGTGGGCCTCAAGCCATCACTGGGAATAAAACCCCATACCTTTACATCGATTTTAAACTGCGTACCATCACAGCTTGAAATATAAGATCTGTGTAGTGATGCAGATTTCTGTGCAAAAGTGCACTGTAAGAATTTTCATTCTAAAATCACGGAAAAGTAACCAGCAACAGTCTTTACATCAAATTAACCAAAAAATTTACGGTTTGGAACATTTTTTTATCTTTACGGTTCTTAAACCATTGGCAGCTATCATGGATTCTAAAAAGAATGGAATTTAACTGGACATTGGAGTTACGTCGTGGTTGAGTTGTGTTTTATCAAATGAATCGCGCAATGTGGTTTTATTAGTTTATCTAGATGTTTCACTTATCGTAAGTGAAGGGAAATATTACCAGCTTTATGGTGCTACCACTATGCGCGAGTGAAAGTAACGTATTCTAATAGTCCAGGGTCACAAATTAGAGAATGCAGGACACTGGAAACTGCTTAAGTGCTGAAGAAAATGAGTAAGTATTTTAGTGTCGACGTGGGATTCGAACCCTCTTTCTACCAGCCATGAACCCGAGATCAGCCATCTGGGCTATGCTATGCACCCAGCTCCAAAGAGCTTATTGGCTTCATAATGGGAGCTTAATTGACGCAGATAGAATCCTGATTATTTAACCGTATCCGGTGAAGCACAATTAATAATTTGAATCCCATATTTTTAAGATTATTTAACAGTTTTGGTTGCATATGGTGAAATGACAATTAAATAAATGGTAAATTGAACATTATTTCCGAGAAATTTCTATCAGTGTGTTATAATAACTCGCCTCATTGCGTAAATAAGTTTAAAAAAGATCAATAATATGTCATATTATGGTTGCATAAAATTTTATTTATATTGAATTAATCTTACTTGTTTAATTTTTGATTTAATTTTTTTCAGTCTCATTACTATTTCATTGCCTTGAAATAAAGCTAGATAAAGATTAGAAAACATTATGAAATGTTACTACTTCTAATAACAAAGGTGCGAGAATAATAAACAAGCGGTAATTAAATAAAAGCGACGCAATATATTTTAATGATGTAGAAGCCTGTTAAAAAGATAGTATATGAAAGTCAATTATAAATTTAGCTTCTTTAAACGTATGACGTAAAAACAGCATGTAATTAACTAAATGATATGCGTGTAGTAAAAAGAAACAATTCTTCCGCTTCTTATGCTGATATTTTCTTCGCCCGGTCAAATTATCTCTTGCCACTTATCATTCTCCTTACGTAATCGCGTGTTTGAAACAACTTAATGAATGGTTTGAAACAATTAAAATTACCTACACTCATCAATAACGTTTGAAGAATAATGATTAGCAAGTCTTTAAACGGAATTTGTGGTCTATAATTTGGTGAAAATCCGTGTTAGTAACCTAATCACCTTATCAAGTATTCGGATTACTGATCGATTAGCCATGGTAAAACTTTAAATGATATATATTCTCATTGAAATTGTTAACGCATCAATAAACTTCTAATATTCTGCCATTGTATTTAATGTGTATCCAATTTTATACTTGAAATAATATAGATAAAAAAAAACTTTAATATTTCGTAATTTAAATAAGTTTAAAAACTAATTAATTAATCATTAATTTAAGTCGTAATTAAAATTATGTAATTATGATTGTTATGTCTGGGAAAGGTTGGGAATAATGTTATAATCGTACCTTGGAGTAGTGAAGTGTTGTTTTAAACTCCATAGTGGGACACCCCATTCCAGGAAGAGTTAGGAAATCTTATATGGCAGCCATCACAATGACACACCATAATTTACACTCCATTTACTTAGACAATTTTAAGATAAAGCGATATAAGCAAAAAGTTAAGTTAAAATTACCGATCTCTTGACTAAGAATTTGGATCACATTTTACAAATTGCAACCCTTTGTAGCATTGAAATTGGCTCTTAGTATGTCCTGATGTGATATTAGAATGGCCCCTAGATAAAATTTCTTAACTCTCCAAGGATTGAAGTGATTAATTGGGGTGGATAGAGTATCCTACTACGAACCCGGAGGTCCTTGGTTCGAATCCTACAATCAGCCTACGAATATTTTTCTCATACATCTCTTCTTCCACACCACCTTTGAGACTATGCACTGTGCTCAAAAGGAATGTATGCTGTTTCAATTTTTAAATAAATGAGGTTTTTTTCAAATTCGATTAT